ATTACATTTTTAATCACGTTTTCCTTCATTTTTTTCTTTGTAAGAATAAAAACCCTTGAGAAGTACAGCAGACTCTTAATTAACTTAAGAGAAAGAAGAAAGCCCTTGCTTCCTTTCTCTGTCAGGCTGCAGGAGGACTACATTCTTGAATGGGAAATGAAAGATTTACAACATTTTCAAGACTACAATTTTTAATGAGATGCACATTCCTTTCCTGGTGTAAGCCTCGCCCCAGGGGTTCTGGGAACAGAGAGAGAAACATTGCAAGCTGCTTCTTGATGGCCCTCACTCTGTACATTCTCCTGGAGTGTTTTTCAGTTTAAGCATTATCTTCTTTTATTGTTTTCACCATTAAACACATTTCACCTGGCATATTCGTTTTGAGCCATCCAGAGATGAAATAACTAAGGTCTGTTCATGGTAACTACTTACCTAAGTATCTGGAAACTATGTAGTGAGCTATTTTCTCCAAATTGCTTGTATACTTCTATTTTCAAAAATAAATTATAAGTTAGTTATGTTACGGTACTCTGGTTTGTAACTGCTATAGTCCTAATTTTTCTCATGCACATTGCTACTAATGGCCTGGCATAAAAGGAAATATACTTCATATGCTGCCTTTTGGTCCATTTGCATCAGACCCAAACTGTGTAAAATTGATTCTCTTTGAATACAGAGTCAGAGCTCAACCATAGCTGTAGCTTCTCATGTGGCTGTTAGAAAAACAAAAAGGTGATTTTTAAGACCAAAGAAAAATACGAACGCAGAACAAACAGTTGTGGTTTGAAAATACGGTTACAGAAATTTAAATTTTTATCTTAAAAGATGAGCAGAGGAAAGCTTTTGTGAACTAGACTCTGCCACAAATGAGTTACCTGTATTTTGTATGTGAGATGCTGAATATAACCATATTAGCCTCAGTGCATGAACATCAGGTCATGTCAAAAATATAGCATCTCTCTCTGATTAACTGTCTCATAATGCTGTTTTCAACCTTTCTCTCAGGGAGAAATGTATCTGATGTCAGCAAAGTTGATGTTTCCACCGCTAATGTAATTTCAAACTATGTAAGCCTACCATATAGCAACTATGAGGTTTTAAAACACTTTTATTATAGAATATCAAGACTCACAAATACATTTCTAAACCTATTTCATAATACCTTGTGTTCTTATCAACACTGACACTAAGGTACCCCAGGTCCCAATATTATAAACAAACAGATAAGATTAATCTCACATTCTTCTCAATAAAAGGATACAATAAAGCTTATGCTCCATCAGATTTTCAAAAAATAAAAATTTCTGGCTCTACAGCCTTCATTTTAACTGTCTTGCCATTTCTACAATCAGAAAGATGTTGGCTGGCCAGCAATCTGAGGATCCTGAGAGAGTGTTTAGTGATGAATTCAATCAAACCAGTTAAAGGCAAGAACCTGTCAATTCCAGTGAGTTCCAGAATATCACATAATCAGAATTTCAAGTGGTGGTCATTGGTGCTGAAAACTGTACAATAGTAGTGTTACAATGATGTCACCAAAATATTTTCATCTTTGATGACAGCAGTAATAACTACACAGAATAAGTACTTATGTGCCAGAGACTGTTCTAAACATATTTACATATACCGATTCATTTGAATCTCTAAGCATATTATTATCCCCTTTTAAATATAGGTAATGGAAACACAATGAGGTAAACAGCTTGCCTAAAATCACACAGCATGTAAATTATATAACTAAGATTCTAATCCAGGCAGTTTGGTTTAGGTCTTGTGTTTTTTTCCACTAGGTGTAATGATAAACATGCTATAATGATTCTTGTTTTTAGAACTGGAAATTAATCTTCACTTCATTACCACCGTCATTTAAATATTGGATATACTTGGGATCAGATAACAGTTCTGCTACTTATTAACTACCATCATCATCATCATCAAATTTCTTGACCTCTTGCTATTATAGCTGTTTAATCTGTAAAATGGAGCAATGTTTATCTTTCAGGATTCTAGTGAGATTGCTAGTCATATACGTAAACTACCAGCTCCTGGCATACAATAGTTACCTGGAAAAGGATAATTGTATTAGAAGTATAAAAACCAGAGTGACAAATTATGCTTATCCTAATTAAGCAGATATGAGTTTGACCACAAGTAAGTAATGTAAATCCTAAACTATCAAATACTTCTACCAAGTATTTCAAACAGTGCATTAGGTCATTAAAAAGAATTTCTTAGACCAAGTGCTGAAGACTAAAATAGCTAAGTAGCAACTGAGGTCATGAGGCCTAGGCCCAGACTTCATACCCTCAATTTTGGAAATAGAGAGTCCAAAAAAGGTGTCTGTCTATGTGGACTTGGAGCTGGTATGTATACTGTGTCTTGCTGATCATTCTTCTATATTGGAGAGTTGAAGTGAAAATACCAACAAGTAGCAGATGTGTGTGGCAAATCAAAATGAAGTTTACAGAGTGAAAATAACCTGTGCAAGACTGAGACCTTGGTGTTAGAATCACAAAACTCCAATTAGGTGATTTAACCGTAAGGCCGTGGTTCCCCATATGCCAGGCTCAAAACCATTCTAAAGGGCCCTCCAGTCGACCATTATACTATTTTCAAATTAATCATAAGCTTCTATACAAATTAATAGACTAAAATTAACTTATGTAGATTGCTAAGGTCATAATAGCTTGTGTTTGTGTACAAAAGTTTTTATTTTATGTGATTACTATGTCACAGGATAAATGGACCTTTTATCATTTCATTTTAGGATACTTCTTTTGCAGCAGTTTGAGGTTCCTAGCCATAAAGAATTCCCATGTACCTCTGTCCTCACATGAGCACAGCATCCCTGCTGTCAACATCCTGCATCTGAGTGGCACATTTGTTAGAACTGAAGAAACTACATCGACCCATTAGTAGAATTCAGTCCATAATTTATGTAAGGGCTCACTCTTGGTCATGTACATTCTATAGGTTTTGACAAATGTATAATGTACATCCACCATTTCAGTATCACAGAAATTTTCACTGCCATAAATATTTCCTGTACCCTCTCTATTTCCTCCCTCCCCTTTACTCCCTGGAAACCACAGATTTTTTTTAAACTGTCTCCATAGTTTTCCCTTTTCCAGAATATCATCCAGTTGTAATTGCAGAGGATTTTAGCCTTTTCAGTTTGGCCTTTTTCACTAATCTGTTGTCATTTAAGCTTCTTCCATGTTTTTTCATAGTGTGATAATTTGGTTCATTTTATTTAGGAATAATACTACATTGTCTGGGTGTACAATGTAAGCATTCACCTACTAAAACACATCTTGGTTACTTCTAAATTTTGACAGTTATAGAGCTGCCATCAATGTCATGTGAAGGTTTTTGTGCAGACATATTTTTTGACTCATTTGAATAAATACCAACCAAGGCAGTTGCTGCATCCTACAGTAAGAGTATATTTAATTTTTTAAAAACCAATTTTACACTTTTTTGTATACCACTAGAAATACATGGAAGATCCTATTGTTCCACATCCTTGTTAGCATTTGGTGTTGTGTTTAGGAGGTTTGCCACTTTTATAGATGTGTAGTGGTATTTTGTTGTTATTTTATAATAGTAGCTTTTAATCACAGTGCATTGTCTAAATGAATTGGTAATAACAATGTAATTATGTAGTCATATGGAAATACCAGAAATTTGACATGAAAGAGGGACTTTCATATTCAAAGTAGTTATGAGCTAGTGGATCTCAAGAAGAAAAGGATAAGTTTCAAAATACATATGCAAAAATGTCTCCTTTAACCTTATGGTCACACTCTTCCTTTGCCTGAAAGTCTTGCAGCCCATCAATCCAGCCTTCTGTTTCTTCCCAGGTTCACACTGCCTTAGTACACATGATGGAAAACCATTGCCATCTTCCCTGAGAAAAGTTTTCTGAAACTGTACTCTACAAGATCCTAATGTTCTTCAAAATGTTATTAAGGGTTCTTTGGGGGAAAAAATTCCATGAGTTTCATCAATACAGCTCATGGTGGTTTCCACTCTCTCTCCACCCATGGAGATGCACAAAATTTAATAGGTTCTTAGAATAAAAAATAAAATAGTCTTCTATACTTTGTAAGGGGAGTATCTATTCCCGGGTTGGGAGTTCCAAAGGTAACAAAATGGGAGGGAGGCAGAGGAAGTCAGGGAACTTCCCTCAGGCAGCACCATCCTCTCTAAAAAAATGTGAAAAAACTCGATCAGAAATTGTGGGTCAGGGAATTGTCCTTTCTGAAACAGGGGACAGAATCCCACTTTAAAGATTTTATAAAGGTGAGACAGAAGACAGTGTAAAGACGGGTTATGGCAAAGTAAGAAGAATGTACAGCACAGCTCTCTGCCCTGATCCCTTTTGATTTTCAAGAGTCTGTAAAATCAGGAAGATGATGTTAGTGGACTTCCTATAGAACACACTAAGGGACAGACCAGGAAGCAAGCTGCCACAGAGGCAGGTCTCCAATTCCTGGGCTGCTCTTTGAGGTGCAGAGAGGCTGGGACAGGCCTGAAGATAACCAGGGAGCTCATTGCCAGAGGTCTTAACCTCCTTCAGAACATAATGTACAAGATGTAAACAAAATGTCCCAGCTGGCTTGTGATGACTTAAAACAAGGATGCACTTGATTCATCAGCTTTCTTCCTTGAAACCTGCTTAGGCCACACAGAATCTTCATGCTTAAACCCTGTTATTCTCCAGAGACCGATAAATAATTTTCTGGTAGTCAGAATTGAAATTTTATTCTTTGTCTCTGTATGTTTTTTTTTCCTTTTTATATTCCGTTATAAAAAGCTATAATAAAAAAAATTAGATATCTTGGTCAAACAGAATTCCTTAACAACCAGCTTTCCTGGTATTAACTAAATTTTTATTTGTTTGTAACCTATGATGATCCATGAGGCCAGCTGGGTTTTGGACCATCTGCAATTTAACAGGACGTTACTAAATAAAGTAGATAAACAATCAATCAAACCATTTGGTCCACAGGGATAGGGGTCTTCAGAATATCTTCCACAAAGCTGACGCAGGTGTCTCTTAACATGCTGCTTCCTAGATCTCTTAAACCTGAGTACCTGGGCGTGGGGCAAAGGAATCTGACTATCAACAGGTTCTCCCCAACCTGTGCTCATAGCAGTCTGAGAGCCACTGTGTTGGATCGTCCTGGGTAGAACACGTTACTCAGAGTACAATGAGAACGCAAGAGAATGAAGAAAAAACAGTTGTGATTATAACATCTTAGGCCTGAAAAGGGCCTGAAAAGAATATCTAGTTCAACAGGATACTTTTATAGACAAGAAAAATGTGTTATTTAAGCAAGGTCACCAAGTTGGGTCAGTTGCACATTCTTTCCCATCTAAGTGTCACTTAGACTGGGAATTGAAGAAGGAAAGAAAATCCAAAAGGAGAAAAAAAAAAGGAATAAAGCAAATCTCTGAAGAAAATCAACCAACAAATTTCAGAGAAATGGTCTAATTATTCAAGGTGTGCTCAGTTTGCATCTCGGACCTTCTCAAAGACTTATTTTTAACCCTGAATTGGGAAACATATTCTGTTTTAAATGTTGGTATTACTTCAGAACACAGAAGCTCAATTTGTGTGGCAATCCCAATCTTGAATGTGTACTCTCCTGAGCCAACAAATTTACAGACTAAGCAATCATTTTCTAATTTCAAGGTCCCTATTCTTTTAGTCATTTAGAATTCAGACTTTAAGCCAATCTATGAATGCCAGGTTTCTGTTAATTACAAACAATTCATCTTAATTAGCCTGAAAGACTGTTCTAACAAGAAATAAATTATTGAGCACAAAAAAAGCAAGCTTTGTCAAATGTTTAATGTTCATTTAAATCCCTTTCAAAACAAATGGCGGTTGAGAACGTGGAAGGTTAGAGAGAGAACTTTTGTTGTTGGATTGGTCTCAGATCTTCCTCTGGCTGCTCACAGGTGTACCTGTGTTTATTTAAAAATTTATTGTAAGCGATCAAAATCATTATAATCATGATGATAATCAATGTTCATTAAGGATACAACAGAAAAATCCATGATTAAAGACGGTTTGTTTCATCATGGTAGGATCATTTATTTATTACTGTGGAAATTGTTACAAATTGCTCCTCTTGGGGGCCAAAGATCAAGGAATGTATGAATTTGGAAATTGAGGCTAAAAATTCCTTTAATGGGTAAAATTCTGCCAGTTCTTCAGAGCTTGGCACGTGTAAGACTGACAGCTAGGCTTTCAACTCACCACACATTGCTACACTGTGACTCAGTGGCACTAGTTTCAGACACAGTTCTACCCTGGTTTATTCAGTTCTTCATTATTTTAAATCACAGTTTGAATACATCAAGGTGCCATTAGGATTTGTTATCAACTGTTTTAAACAGCAGGGAAATGGCATTGTTATCTTTAAAAAATAATAATTTCATAATCACTCTTTGCTGCTTTACTGTGCAATCAGAAGATATTTGAAAACATTTCATGGGCTGCTTCTGTTCAAATGTGTTTGTTTTGGTGGCTAAACCCAAACAAAAATCTCAGTTCCATTTGAAGGGAAGAGTGGGAGATACCACGCAGAGGAGGAAAGTACAGACACTTCAAATGAAAAGAAATTCCTTCCCTGAATTGATGTTCCCTTTTAACTATCTAATTCAGATAAACGCTGTCACACTTTGTAGCCACCAGCTGGATCCTCCTACTCCTGATTCAAATTGCAAACAGTCTGTACAAACAAATATTTTTTTGAGACAAATTCAACTGTTCTAGTGTAAAATGGTTTTCGGCTCATCTCCAGGCCCAACACATTGGCTCAGGAAATCTCTTCTGTCAGACAAAGGCTGTTATTGTAATTCTAAGTCAGGGCTGTTCTTAGAGGACTGTCTCAGCTGATCAGACAGGGTGAGTCAGACTATCCTCAGGAAAGAGAAAGGAAATACGACCCACCCACTCTGTGAAAGTCCCACTGGAAAGCCCGCCTGCAATCTGGCCTTGGATAAGGGTTGGAGCTCCAACGGTCCTTTCCTTTACTATTCCCTGAGCAGGAGATGTGACTCCTGTTTCCTGGTGTTTAGACTGTGCATATTTCCCAAAACTTCTCCTATTTGGAGGATGGAAAGATGCCCAGGAATACCAAATATGGCCAGCTAATCCGGTTTCCAGTAAACCTGAGTGATCTCTGAGGTCAAGCAAGAATGTGATAGCAGTTTAGAGTTGGGTGGGGTAGAACAGTAAAACTAATCACCAGGAAGCATGCCAACACTTGCTTTCTCTGACTTCCTATCCCAAGAATCTGACCTCATCTTGCCAAATGTTCCGACTTAACAAATGAGAGGTTCAGTCAGACACATGAAAATTCTGTTTCAGCAAAATCCAAATCTAAAAGGATTATATATATATATATATATATTTCTGTTTCTTTCCAGCACTTAGACTGTAAGTTCTCATGTTTATCACTCAATCTTCAGTTTCAGTTGTGAGGCAGACAAGTGCATTGCTTAAGGGGGTATTCTCCAGAAGGAACAGCCAACGGGGGTTTCACTGAGTCCTTTGCTCCTGGCCTTATCTTACTCAACACAATTCTCTAAGACACACCTTCCTCCTCCAGGAAATGAAGATCAGAATAGTATGTGAACAATGCAAATAGTAATAAAGCTAAATATTATGGAAGAAATTTTACCAGCACATGATTAACAACAAATAGGTGCTACAACTAAAGAAAATTTAAAGATTTATTTTTAACCTAAAGTCTTAATGATTCACTTCAATTTTTACTTATTGTTTTCTTTACTATAACATAAATGCACACAGAAATTCGATGGCAGAAAAGAGAAGGTACCCCTAATTACAAAACCCTCACAACTTCTGTTTGTATTTTGGTATAATTTTTCCAGCATTTTTTTCTTCACAGCCCTCTCCACACACACACACACACACACACACACACACACACACACACACATTCACACACAAATACACTCATTTTGAATCTCACACATGTAATACTCTGTATCAGTTTTATGTACAACTTTATCATGAGCATTTTCCTGAGTGGTACATAATTAAAATCACAAACATTATTAATATCTATTTTATATACCATTGACTGGGTCATGTGATGTACACTGAATCTAATTATTTTGGTTCTTAAAATGGAAATAAGGGTTGGTGATTAATATTTTTGCGCAGATAGCACATCCCCTTATAATCTTAGTGCATGTTTAAAGAAGAGGATTGCCTAGTCAACAATCAAACATTTTCAAAGCATTTGACGTTTATCGTCAATTCGTTTCCTGAGTAGGTGCCTAAAGATGCATAAGAAAATATCTGTCACGAAACATCTTTCTAGTGATCCTTCTAGTTTTAATCAAAAGATAATTTGAAAGTCATTATCAATCGCTTTTACCATAATTATTTATCTGCCATTATTTGTCTTCTTTCAAAATCAATTAGAAGAGAGAAAAATATCACATATTCAAGTTAACGTTCCTTAATATAAAAAAAATATATTGAAAAGCTATTAAGACCTAAGCCTAAATGGCATAAAGAACAGATGATGGTTGTATCCAGATACTGTTTTGTTTCATTTAACACCATATGCACAGATGGGATGTACTTTTCTCCCCTTTCAGCATAAGCTTGTCATTCCTAAATTTGACATCAGAGGATCATCTTGAAGTTAGGTTTTTCTGAAACACAATATATAGAATGCATGCAATAAAAGCACCCCCCACTCCCCGGAGATTTAGTTTACCTTGGGAAGAAAATTCACAGTCATTGACTTAAAGAACAAAAGTGAGGTCACTTTAGTGGAATAGATTCACAAGTTTTAGCACAAAGTATCATTCCTACAGTTTGGATACTCATGGTCACTGCTTCTAAATGGCATATGTTCATCGGGCTCTAACTCTGGTAAGACTGACATTACCTCTCCAAAGATATTTGTAGCCACATTTGAACCATCAAATATGTCATATCCCCCTCGTCAGCAGTGATAGCAAAAATAACAGGACCAGTTTCTGTCCTCAAGTAATTCAGTTACTCTAAAAGCTGACACATGCAAAGCTTAAAATATAATCAGATCGGGACAGCACTAACAATGGGATACTTCTCAAGTAACAAGTTGAATCCTCTTTTGAAATGCACGACATTTCTTGCATAAATGTGATTGCCCAAAAAAGCAGTGTGTTTCACTCATCTCACTCAACTTATTCATACATTGATTTTTAGTCATTCATAAATTACCCAGTAATATCAACTAATTCTGATATTTCCTTCTTTTATTTTTTAAATTTTTGGGAGGTGCTAGGGATTGAACTCAGGGGCACTCAACTACTGAGTCACATCCCCAGCCCTATTTTGTATTTTATTTAGAGACAGGGTCTCACTGAGTTGGTTAGCACTTCATAGTTGCTGAGGCTGGCTTTGAACTCATGATCTTCCTGTCTTGGCCTTCCTTGTTCTTTTATACTACTTGAGGTCTTTCCCCTTAGTGTGTGTGTGTGTGTGTGTGTGTGTGTGTGTGTGTGTGTGTTAAATACAAGGCTACTAATTTTTTGGAGTGATTAGGTGATGAAAACAGCATATTGGAATGATGAATAATAATATTGTTGTTGACCACAATGAATTTTTCTGAGAATTGAACAGTGTGTGTTTATATATGTGTGTATGGTGGGGGAGTGAAGGTACATAAATAAATACCTGTCCCAAATCACATAGAAGTAGTAGCAGATATTGTCTTCATCATCACAATAGCAGAACAACTACAACCACTTTGGAAAACAACTCCTATTTTCTCAAAATGTTAAATATGTATCTACCATATCACCTATTCCTAGGTTTCTATCCAGGAGAAAGAAAACATCTCCATGCAAAGATATGCACTTAAATGTCCATAGCAGCATTATTCATAATAACCCAAATCTGGAAACAACCTGGGTCTCCATCATTTGGTGAACTGATAAACAAAATATAGTTTTGCCAGACAATGGAATTGTATTGGGTGATGAAACGGAACAAAGTGCTGGCACACCTGCTTCATGGATGGACCTCAAAAACATTTTGTTAAGCGAAAGAAGCCAGAAACAAGAGATCACATATTGTGGATTCTACCTACATAAAATGTTAAGAAATGGAAAATTTATAAAAGCAGATAGTAGATTATGGGTAGAAAAAGGACTAACTATAAAAAAGCATCATATTTCATTTCTCCTGGATAGATTCCTAGGAATAGAAGTGCTAAGTGATGTAGTAGATACATATTTAACATTTTGAGAAAATTTGAAATTGTCTTCCAAAGTGGCTATAGTTGTCCTGCTATCTTGATGATAGTAAACACAGTATAGGTCACTACTTCTACCTGCTTTGGGCCAGAATTAAGTTAAATATTTTATAGGTTATGAAAAAGATCCCAAAATTGATTTATGGTGATGTTCACATCACTTCTCAAAGTTTTCAAAAACCATTGACATGTATCTAAAATGAGTGAGCTTTATGACATGTAAAATATACCACAATAAAGTTCTTAAAAAAGAAAAGACAGCAGAACCAGGGCCAAAGCCAAAGTATACCAATCATCTGTTTGCCTCTTTTTTATACTTAGAGATTCTGTGCCACCAACATTGTGTTTATTTAGTTAAAAGTAAGACTTGAAATTGGGTTATATAGTTGATTAACTCAGTCTAATCATTATGAATAATTCGGGGCTTACAGAGATTTTTAGATTATGGGTGATATATTCATTTTCTAACTGTTTTCTAGATTGCAAAAAACTTTATTCCACTCATGAATATGATAGTAATCAGGATGTTGCACTGACCAAACACACACACACACACACACACACACACACACACACACACACACACACACACTGCCTATTGGTACAGGGAGACTCTGGCCCCAAGAATGAGCCATCCCAAACCAAGCACCTCAAATCCAGTCATGAGAACACCTTTCAGTGTTTGCAGTTGTTTTTCTGGCAACTGTCTTTACTTGTTCCCAAACTGCTGCAACTCTCATCCTCTCAATTCTCTTTCTGATCTTCCCAGTGCTGAACTTCCAACTCTGTGACCCCAATCTTGATTCCTGGCCCAAGACTTACAGCTCAGAATCGATCTCATGCTTGCTTCCAATTGCATGCTTCCTGTGTGTCTGCACTGATGGAAACCCGCCATTCTGGCCTTGTCACACCCAGTGCTGACCCTGTCTTCTGGCTGTGACCCATCCCTCTCTCACCATCTCTTAACCCCTTCAAAGAGGAGACTGACTCATTTTTTTTCCATGCACAATATATTTTATCTGCACATCTATTATTAAATTTAATACCTTCTCGTATGTCTTAGAGTTACTGATGTAGTTGTCATAACCCACCTGTTTCATCATTAATAAATCTTCCTCACAGTGTCTGATGCAGAATTTTTCTCATGAAAATGTATATTTCAGAGTCTGCAGATTGACCAACATATCTATTATATGAAAGGCTGTTATGAAAGGCTTACCTCTGCCATAGTTCATTTTTGTTATCAGGATAGCAAGCAGGATATTTGAGTTACTACTGGAAAAATATGATTTTACTGTCTTAAGTCATTTCAAGAGGTTGGCCAAAGACTCTGAATTTGTTCCAACTTTCAAATAAACTAGAGAAAAATTAAAGGCCTTACATGATATTAATGTGAACACTATTAATGTTAACCTATTTCTATCTACATGTCTGTTCCAACCTGTGTCTTTGCAAAAGGACTGTGATTATGAAAAGGATTGGAAAGCCGTGCTCAAATAGAAGTTGCCTACTGCCAACAGATCCCCGCATCCTTCTCTACCTCGGCTGGTATTTCTTAATGCTGTACTTGGCACGACAGAGGAAGTCTGATGTTCCCGAGGTGAGTCGCCAAGTGGCCAAACCACTCTCTAACGCACCAGAGCGTGACTCAGGATTTGCTGCCAGCTTCTTGTTTAAAAATGCCATCGGTTTAACATTAACTGAAAAAGTAATTATTCTCCAGTTTCACTGAGCTATTAAGAAAAAAGTTCATTGAAACTGCAGGAGATGAAATACTGTGCTTTTAGGACTTGCTGGAAGGCTTTCAACATTCAGAGCAGAAAAACATAAATTTATTTTTGAAGAAGGAGATTTAGGAACTTTACTGAATGGGAAGTGAGAGCATGAATTTAAGTCTCAGGGAAGATAGTCTGGTTTAACAAAATTCTGCAAACATTGCTCAGATTGGACTCTCTTCCATATTTTTTGAAAACTCAAGGCCATTTGCTGCTATGGGATCCTTGGTGTATGGATGCACGATCACACTTGTTTAAGTGCAACGTAGTGAATCAAAGAAATTTCAAATCAGTTTGGACTATGAAATGTTACAAATTGCATTAATCAGGAATCATTTTTTTTATTGTCTGTCATCAAATGTCACCAAATATGATAAACCTGGAGAGGTAAAGGGCTTAGGGGTACCAGAAAGACATACTGAAGATTTAGCCAGAACGAGAGATTTCTGCTTGCAGTAACTTTCCCAATTTTGTTGTAAACACAGACCGTGCCACCTATATAACAACTCAGGGATATGTCGCCAGTAAATGTGGTGTAACTTGAGTTTATAGAAATTTGAGAGAAAGCCACAAGAAGTGGAAAAGTTTATAAGGTTGTGGAACTTGTAGACCATTTTTTTTAAAAAAATATGAGGTTTAAAAATCAGGAGATGGGAGTATGGGTTCTATACCCTATTTTCTATGTAACTTTGAACAAGTCATCCTCTAACTCAGGGAAATGAGGCCAGAAGTACTTTTCAAATTGTAAAAGATGGTTCAAATATTAGTTTTTATTCAGAGATGACCTCCTGTAGTTCTAAGAGGAAACACTACTTCTCTGAGTGAATTACAGACATATAACTTTATCTTTAATGTTAATGTTTCATTTCCATTCTTATAAAACATTTACTTCATCTGTTCTACCACTGTGTATCACTCAATAATTTTAAACCATATGATTATTTAAAAAAAAAAAACTAACAGGAGGAATGTTGCTAACTGGATCGATCATGTCATTGCTTCATTTTATAATTAAAAAAAATCTTAACACTTCTCACAGCTTGAACATGAATTAAATATAAAACTGTTTAGCTGTCTTGGAAGATGGTATTTTCACCTATTGAAAATTGTTACAGTGGAGAATTTATAATTCATCCTTTAGAAAGCAGAAGTCAGCAACAAAATATTTATTTTATTTGCTGTTGTGTACATAGTTTTTATTTATTTTTCTGAAAAACACATAAAAAGTACATGGTAAAGAAGAAAATATATTGCATCAAATATGTCGCAACATTTTATTAGCACAGTGCACAAAGTTTGCAAAGAAAGAACTGGAGTGTGTTCAATGGCTTTGCAGCTAGAGCTTTTTAAATGCTATTTATTCTGGAAGCATATAAAGTAATAGATTTGAACATCACATTGGCAAACAAGCACCTTTAAATTGAATGTGGTACAAGCTAAATATGAGAAAGGAAATAAAATGTAAATGAAAACGCAACTTCTTTGGGGAATCTTTCCTCCTTTACCATATCTTTGTCCTTCTTCCATTGCAGGAGCTGTTAGGAAGAAAATTATTCTTTTGCCTTCTAATCTCAAAATCTTGATTTTTTTTTTTCTTTAATGGTGCTTCCAAGAAGAACTGGAAATGGAAGGGAGGAATAGCCATAAAGGAAACTGCTCTTTAGATGAGATTTTTTTTTCATACTTTCTACTTATAATAGAATTGGTAGAAAGAAAGATTTAATAAAGTATTATAGTAATGAAGCTGTTAGAGCCACTGGAACATAAACTGCGTGGATTAGTGATATGGTGGCCAAATGGAGTACACAAATAGCATTCCCCATTTCATGTGTACTGCAGTCCTGTTCAGTTTTGTGATAAGTCCACTTACCAAATATTGCTGTGTTTGCAGAGGTGACGTGAATATAAAAGATGGGACCTTGAATGTTTGGAATTTACTTACGAAAGCTTGAGAAGGAGATCCTGCTAAAAGCAGTAGACTGTTCATGATCGACATCATCTCCTCAATGTGTCTTATCAGGCATCTCATTTGTCGCAAATATTAAGTACAAATCATTCCATTCAGAACCGTCTCCCCTATATCCTCCTCTTTGCCATGTGACTGCAATTCCTTTCATAATACATGGATCTGAGTTTAGCAGTATGGCTTGTTTTAGCCCAGTAGGATGAGATGAGATTGATAATGTGCTGGGTTTCAAGAGATTTGTAATTTTGCTGCTTTTCCTTCTGTGCCTCTGCCCTGCCAGTCTTTGGATTCAAGAGGAAACTAAAAGATACATGGAACAAAACTGCACCCAGGGAATCCAGCCCAGCCCAGACAGCCAACCCTTGGCTGGCTGCCTGTGTCAGTTGGTCCAACTAAGATTACAACTTCCCTTCCTTCTCTTGCCTGGATCCATCAACTCGGGAAACTTGTGAGAAATAATTAATGATTGTTGTTTGTTTGGAGCCACTGAGTTTGTGTGCTTCCTATACAGCATGAATTTTTGAGGTGAAAGGTAACAGATCAAATGTAGCTCAAAATTGTGGCTGTCTCATTCCTAGAACCTTGTTTTAAAAAACTCATGATTTTAACATTTACACATTATGTGCTGGATTGAATGCATGAATCATGCTCAGTCTCCAAATACAGTAATGATGAATCAAATGCTAAATAGGAAAAATTTTAGTGCTCTGTTCTATATTAATAAAAATATAGGAAGGCCTTTAATTTCCATATTCTCTAAAACAAAATTAATGATCTTATATATATATTCCTTATGTATAAATTATATATTTATATATTCCTTAAGAAAATTTATTTAGAATCAAATAAATATCTTCATCTAATATCTATAGTACACATTCATGTAAGTGAGCAATTTTTATCTCATATTTAAATATCAACCACAACCATGTGAAAACCATCAAGTTTTAAGACTTTTCAGAAGTTATTTTTTTTTCTTAACAAAATGTAACATAAATATGTCTTTTATTTGATAGGTGGGGTAATTAAATAGCAAGTTGTGATTTACTCTTTTATTCTTGTCTCTTTCAAATGACATTTTCTTTCTTCCCATCTCTCTTTACAAATCTGTAAGCCCAAGCTGGCAAGCCACACTCTTCATTTTTGAGATATCAGAAGAGTAAATTAAATTTGTTATAATAACTTGATCACATTCTTTCCAAAAACATAGAATCTCTTCAACTCTGGGATGGTATGCCAGATGGAAGTAAAAATTGCATTGCACACTGTACATCAAACTGTGAATCTTAAATTCATCAAATCTCTGCTTGAATAACACAAAATTTATCCAACAGAAGAACACCTTAATTTATCCAACAGAAGAACAGACTTGGAGAATCACCAAAGGCCTCCAGAAAGCTAATACATCTAGGCCCTGACCAGAACCCACCCCATGCTGCCTCTCCTGGAGACAGGAACCACTGTGTGCCGCCTGGGTGGAGAGGAACACCATGCCCACTGTGGTTCCCTCTCCACTATCATGTGGCTTCACCCAAACCACCTCCACCTTGGAAAACTGTAGCTACTGCCCTAGCCCTCCCCACATGGTAATCTCCACTGTGGGACAACAGACAAGGCCAGGAGGCAGCTGCCCATTGCTGTACCATACACCACAGTGTGCCATCATCAAATAGGCCACCCAACACCATCACACAGCTCATCCTCCCAGTCCCATGTCTGAAAGTGGTTGCCTCCATCTTGGGGTACCTCCGTGGCCATCTTAGACTACTTCCACCGCCACCGCCACCACCATTAGTTGGAACACCAACTAAGGCTTGGAAGCCCAATAGCAAGGTACCTACAAGCTTGATGCTACTGCCACCACAATCTAGGGATGTGGCTCCTTTTATCTAGGGACAACAACCAGTACCTAGAAGACTGTCCCCAAGGCCCCTGCGGCTCCAGCTGCACCAGTGCTAACGGTTACTGTTGCAGAGGCAACAGACAATCTTGCATGGGGTCGCGTCTTATCTTTTTTTCCTCCTGCTAACAGCCAACTTCTGTTAATTCCCCTTACACTCATTCTATAATCTAATACTGCTATATTCTGACATCATACCTCATATACATTATGTCCTACCCACCCTTCTCTCTCTGTCCACCACTAGAAACTGTAAAGCCTTATGCAAACCTACTGGCTATATGGAAGAAGATAACCGTACTCATCATTTCTGTTTATAGCTGCAAACCTGTCAGTGTCTAAATAGAAGCTAATTGATTTATGACTGCATATTAGTTGCACTGGGTGCAGTAAACATTGATCTCTTCCTTAAAGGTAAGGTATTCCTATTTGTACATTGCTGATGGGACTGCAAATGGGTGCAGCCAATTTGGAAAGCAGTATGGAGATTCCTCAGAAAGCTGGGAATGTAACCACCATTTGACCCAGCTATTCCCCTGCTCGAACTATTTCCTAAAGACCTTAAAAAAGCGTACTTTAGGGATACTGCTACATCGATGTTCATAGCAGCACAATTCACAATAGCTAGTCTGTGGAACCAACCTAGATGTCCTTCAACAGATGAATGGATAAAAAAAAAGTGGCATTTATTCACAATGGAGTATTACTCAGCACTAAAAAATGACAAAATCATGGCATTTGTAGGGAAATGGATGGCACTAGAGCAGATTATGCTAAGTGAAGCTAGCCAATTCCTAAAAAACAAATGCCAAATGTCTTCTTTGATATAAGGAGAGCAACTAAGAATAGTGCAGAGAGGAAGAGCATGAAAAGAAGATTAACATTAAACAGGGATGAGAAGTGGGAGGGAAAGGGAGAGAGAAGGGAAATTGCATGGAAATGGAAGGAGACCCTCATCATTATACAAAATTACATATAAGAGGAAGTGAGGGAAAAGGGAAAAAAAACAAGGGAGAGAAATGAATTACAGTAGATGGGGTAGAGA